AACATGTCTAGAATAGCATCATATATATATATATATATATATAATAAATATATAAATATATATATATAAATATATATATATATATATATTTTATATATAAAATATATATATATGATTCGCATTGTGATTAATACACAGTTTTACTAGAAAAACATGTCTGAATGCATCTATGTCTCGTTCAACGAGACAGCGACCAATAAGAAAACAACCAATAAGGTAACAACAAAGAATAATCTCTTGCCCAGCCCTACAACCAGAACGTATTATGAACATCCTAAACGAGAACATCAAAACACCACACAACCCTACCCCCACTTACACAGTCTGAACATCGGAAGCAAGTCCAGCCAATCCAATCATGAGCTTCTGTTCCATGGGGAAGATCTTCTGAAAGTCACACGCAATGGTCTGTGCCTGTACACCCAAGCGTGTGTCTGACGCGATGGCCACACAGTCTTTACCTACCATCGCAATGATGGCGGCTCCATTATATGACATGATCGACTGTGTGTACGTGTACGGATAGACAGACGTTAGAAATGTGTATATGTACAGGCAAGCTCAAAGAGGTGTATATGAACAGATCGCAAGATGAAGCGAGACTACACTCCCCGATGGTGTGGGTTGTTTTGGGTCGGCCTGTGGTATGAGTGTGATACATCGCTGTACCTCCATAGACGCAACAGGCACAAACAATAAGATAAGGAATACGATGAACCAAAACAAGGGGTACGCTAGATGCGAAGTTGAGGCCAACAAATAAATGATACTAGCGATGTGCAAGTATGGACTCTATACGTGGGAATGTATGTGTAGAACTATTATTGCATGGGCATGTATGTTACACATCGTTAGTACGCTACGTGCAACAAGGAATAACAATAAACATACAGACTATGCATCGTTAATAATAAGACAAATAAACTCTATAGTTACGCATGCCATAAATGCCGATATGATCCTCAACCCTTCCAATGCGACGATATAAACAAGTATAATACCTATACCATTCTAAATTTATATTCCACGAGTCGAAAGTGAAACCAATACATGACCATAATTTACGACAACACAGGTGAAACAGAATTAATAAATGTATAAACTGATACGAAACAAATACCCTCGTACCCAATATCCTGGATATACAATAAGAGATCATCTGCATCATGTATTATGTACTACAAGTATGAACTCAATTTCAACATTGCCAGCGAAGAATATATTTACAATCCCACTCGATTTCGAGGTAATGTGAACAAACAAAAAAACTCATCATTAAATATAATAGATCGATATGCATGTATATCCTAGAGTATTCCCATTTGTGTATATATACAGATACATACACATTTTTATATACACGCACACACACACACACTTGTATATATATATATATATATATACGTATACACACACACACATATATATATATATATATATACTGTTAAAAGTTAGTCATTTATATATACACGCACACACAAACACACTTGTATATACATATATATATATATACGTATACACACACACACATATATATATATATATACTGTTAAAAGTTGTCATTTATCATTATAAATAATAAAAAGACTTCACATATTGAATTAAAATTTATAGTAGTTAAATAAGCGTTATCGCTCCTGGGGAGCAGATCCACTGTGAACAGCTTATATATATGTAAATATATATA